TAGAATTAAATACGAAATATTAATATTAAATTATAAATATTAATTACGAAATATACTATAAAACATGCATTTTTTGCATTCTAATAATCGAAATATGCAATAATATTCATTTTATTCAATATATTATGCATTAATATGCATTTTATCTAAAATATACAAAATAAAAATACTACCATTTATCTCACCATGAGGTGATTCATGGACATTACTGACAAAATCAATAATCAGAAGTCGCAAAAAAACATGCTGTTTCATACAAATTCTAGTCCTGCTAATTAGTAATTATACCTATAGTTAAGTTAGGTATAAGTAGAGTATATAACTTGTTTGAATATATTATACTATAAAATTATTACTAAATAATAGGTATAGTGGTTTATCTTATAAATTTTTGAACCCTAGCTAATAAATAAAATGTTTAGAAAAATGTATAACTAAATATCTATATATTATTATAAAATATTTACTTTGTTGTGGTTTCAAAAATTTCGTTATTGCCCTGTAACCACGTTTTCCATCGACTTCATAGTTCACATTTCTAATCATACCATTAGACTCTAGAAAACTATACGATCCTCTTACGTAATCACCGTACTTTGATTCCCAACGATGTGTTATAACTCCTGATAGCAAGTCATTGATATTGTAATGAAATTCGTAAGCCACCTATCAAACAGATCATATTATGGTGAATAAATACAACCATTGTATTTATTTTATTGTAATTTATTTATTGTTTAGAATATGATTTATGAACTAATGTGTAAGAAATAAATGCAAATACCTCATTTTCTTGAATTGGAACGTAGTAATTTTGAGAAAGCGTTGTTGGCCATAAAWTGACAAATGAAAAAATGAGCTAAAAAAACATTTAAAATAATTAATTTAATGTAAATGCGTCAAGTATTTCACGGGTGTGATCTATAAACCAGRYGAATCATCATCTAACTAGCTATTATTATTTTTCGTTAGAACATGTAATTTAATTTGAATAGTTAATTTGAAGGTATGTTCAAATTAATTTAGGTGTYGTACGGGTACGATAACCGATAATGATTTATAGTCTATATAAATTATTCATTGATTATTGTATCATTGAAATTTTTAAATTTAAATTTAAATTGATTTTATTACCTACTGCTACTCTATTTTTAATAGCTATATCGTACATATAGGCTTTTAAGCCTCGAGCGTATAGTTTTGAATATTAACTTATAATATAATATAAATATTACGTCATATTGATATGGTACGTTACCTGCAGAACGATCTTCATCTTCTCGTGAAAATTAATTTAGGTCTTCATTGATTGTCAGCTGCCAAATCAAAACTATATCGAAGCGGTCTCGATCCAAATGGTTTTGTTTTAATGTATCATTGAATCCATGCCTAGGCGTCAGGCTCATGCGCACTAAATTATATGTTTGGTATAATTTAAGTATACCTATCTACAGGGGAAATGAAAAAAACAAGAAGTGCACTTGATGCCAAATGTCAAGGTGATTATTAGATCATCTTGAACTCGCGTGTAGAAAGAGAATGGACCGAGTAAGTGCTGGAGTATACCGCTATATAGCAGTAACATTGACGTGGTCTGCGGATAACGCCCCCGCGTTTTATTCACAGAGTACTACCTATATATTATTTTATTTTTTATTCGATGACCAATTATATTGTGACTGCAGTTTATAGCTACCAAGGTACGTAGACTGCATGTGTATATTACTTATCTATATTTATAATAGTCGGTGAAAATATAATTATTAAATGGCATATTAGCGTGCATTCATACATAAAAATAGTATAATATTATACTATTCACAGATATTAAATATATTGTATAACACAAAAATGCAATATAGGTAATTATATTTTATATTTGCATATAAAATATGCTATTTTTAAGATATGTATGTGTCATGTGTGTGTGTGTATCAGTGTATGGCTCTGTCGCTCTGACACAACACAAAACCAGTAACTTATGGTAAGTAGGTACCTATAAAAACTGAATAATATACTGTATCTACTTATCTATAATAGTTATGGAGTTGTAGTAGGTACTCGTACTTATATAAAATGTAATAATGTACGTAGTATATAGTATATATTTTAATATGTTTATACRTAAATACTAATTGTGGTATTGTGGATTCACATTTTTTATAGCTTATAGGGCTGTAGATAATTTCTTGCAAGGTGGAATATTTTTTCAATTYTAAAACGCAAAATTAAAGTTTTATTTAACCTGGTAATATTATATAAAACATGAATAATTTTTATATAAATATTTAATTTGTTATCTTTCTTTTTATTACATTTTGACCATTCCTTTTAGGCTAACTTAACKTATTGTATCATTATAAATATTGTAACTGTTGAGCCATAATAGTCGTTGACTGAAGGCTAATAAAAATAAAAAATAAAAAAAAAAATTTTTTTTGTGTAGATAATTGTCTATATCCTGTAATACAATATATTACTTACATTTTAAATCATTTAATCCATTATTAAGTAGGTAATAGGTATAACGTATATATTATACATACAGCTTTATTCTACAATTATTTTAACTATATAGTGTAAATRTGTAACAGTAGGTACTTTTATTTCGAAATGTTTGATTTTTTTTTATAATTTTATTGTCTAACACGTTATTATTTTAATATAAAAATGCCATTTTTGGTATGGATAGGAATTTAAAATTAATAATTTACCTTAAACTAAGTAGGTAAAATTTTAAAATGATAGCGTCAAAACATCATAGGTTCTGTTATTAAAAACTTAAAAATTAAATAGTTCATGGCCAATCGTGTTCACTATTCGTATAAATTTCGTGATGTATATCCAAGGAATATAAGTAGGTACATCACATAACCGATCGACATTATATTAAATGTTGTATGGTACTATATTTAGTGATTTAGTCACTTGTATAAWATGTATATATATTTCAATATTTGTAAATATAGAGAATTAACTTAGACGATTGCTTACAACATTTAATCCTTGATAATATAATTTATAAATAATATATTATTTAGATAATTAAATGTAATTCTTAGTTACACAAAAGTCAAGTTAATATCTGTCTTTCAAAATTAACTCATTTCAAGGCTTCTATATATAATACATCATGTTAGCACGCTTCTTACATAATATATGAATGATATTTATAAAAATCTGTTTTGTTTTAAAAGTAACTTAGGAATAAAAAACAATTTTTTTTTATAGTATTAATTTTTATAGTGCCTTATTTGAAGCCAATTCAGGGGCGTCATGGGGACTGGGGGTGGTTGAAGTTGAGTGGAAGGTGTAAATTTGCACCAACTTTTTTTTTAAAACGCCTTCTCTAGCCTACCAACAATAAATACATGCACTAGCTGATACATATCTAATTGTTTTAAACTATAAAAATATTTTATATTTWTTCAGTATTAATAAAAAAATATTATGCTTATGTGTTTTATTTTATTAATTACATAACTGTTTATTGTGCCATTGTGAGCAAGAGTAYCTATACAATAAATTACAAGCTTAATTAACCAGCTTATATATTTTGAATGCAGTGAAAAATATGTAATATGTATTGATTAGGTTGGGTTAGGTATTTTATTACTAAGGTACCATTTATTGACCAAGAATAAATACCACTGGTAACCACAAAATAAGTTTAATATAAAATATAAATACATTCAAAATACAAATGGTTAGACTGAAATAGTAATAATTATAGTGATATTTTCAACATAATATATAAGTGACATTATATTAAATAAACTCCCAATTTATCCAAAAAAATTATCCCCACTTGCCCCCCCCCCCACCATAAAAAAAGTTTTGTGGTCTGAAATGAATTGAAATGGGCAAATGGCCTGCAAAATTTTTTGTACCAACAATAATATAGTTGAAATGACGCCCTTGATCCAATTTTACCAAAATTAAAAGTTAATTTTACTGTTAATTATCAGTTTTGGTTAATTTTTTCTGAGTACTTTAAATAATATTAGGTACTAGCATTATAGTTGGCAAAGAATAAGGTGAATATGTAATTGAAACTTTTTGTTATTACGTTTGTTATTATTTTCTATATGTTCATAGGCGGAAATCCATAATAGAAATTTCTGGGTGGGCTAAATTAATTTAAAAAAAACTATATTAAAATAAAATAAAATTTCACATAAAACCTGAAAATAATGTTGGGAGGGGGGCTAAGCTCTAAGTCCTATTGGCTGTTGCGCAATGACATTTTCAATTTTTTTTTACAAATTTTCAACTTAATCAATATAACTTTAAGTTCTTTGTGACTTGAACCTATTCGCTTAAATCTGTACAGCATATTAAAGTGATTATGTTTATAAAAATTAACAGATGTGTTAAATTTAAATTTAATGATATAATGTCATTGTATATGAAAAACGATTTAGTGCGAAAACAGYCTGTCAGTCTATGGTATTATTAAGTAGGTATACTGTGTGTTCAATTTTAAAGGTAACAGGAAATATTTCAAATACATGACCTTGAATTTGATTTGGGGTTTTTTTTACAGGATACAGGACATATAAATACATATTTTTTTTGATAAATTTAAATTTTTAACTTTTTTTACAGATTATTAAAAATCTAACATTCAACTATGATACAATCAAAAAACGATTCAGATAATTATTTCAATAATAGTTTATTGATTTGATTAAAAATATGATTTAATAATAATTCCAATAATAATTTAGTAGTTTTAACAAATAAATAGTTATAATAATATCTGAAAATGTTTGATTAAGATACGTAGAGTGTTAAAATATGCGATAAATACGAATTACCTAATTTAAAACTTTTGACTGTCTTAAAAATGTAAATTTTTAAGTTATCAAAAAAACTGTAAAGATCAAAGTTGCTCAAAAAAATAGAACAATCCAAATCCAGTGTCAAAAATAATGATTCCTATTTAAGAAATTTTTATTTTACTGCGCATGCGCAGATAAAAAGTTAAAAATTTAAATTTATCAAATTCAAGGTCATGCGTTCGAAATATTTCCTGTTACCTTTAAAATTGGACACACAGTATTTTATAATATTATTGCGATTTAAGTGATTTATTTAACTTTTAGGTGTTAGGATAGTTGCAGGTATAGCATACACTCACTAGTTCACTATAGTATAGTATATAATAATGTGCCTATTTATTTTATTTGGTTCAAATTCCCGAGAGTAATATTTTCAAATTAAAAAAACAACTAAAAAGTTATTTTTCGTTTAAATTTGGACTGAAGATGTCTATATTTTAGATTTTTCGTTTAGCACATGTTTGTAATCAACTTTACGTGTGTCCTGTATGATGGTAGAAATAAACAAAAAATTTCAAATATTCAATTGTTATTGAAAAGCCTAAGTATATGTTAATTTTAAAAATTTGTTTATTTGGTGGATTGCAAGMTGAAACTATTTTTATTTCATGTTTGTACGTAGGAACCAGAGTACCAGAGTGGTTTAAATGTATTATACTTAGTGGTGCAAGACAATATATAGACATCCCCCTTCATCATAGAAATTACAAATAAATATTTTTTTWTAAGTTTTTTCATATATCTAATTTTCTTCAGTTAAGTTGTTTACATTTTTTATAATAACAATGATTGTGTAATGATTTTTAACTTACTTTTTTGTTAATAAAACAATGAAACATTTTTACATTGTATTAAAAAAATTAATCAAATAAAAATAAAAAGTAGGCACCTACTTACTCTTTTATAGTTTTATTCATATTGAAGATTAGATAACATTATTTTTCAAATATTTATAATTATTGTAGACTTTTATTTTTAAGTTTGATGAATTGGTGGTGCAGTGCACCAAAAACAATATACCTACTCAAACCGCCTCTGGTAGGAACTGTTATAGTATTGGCATTTGGCTTCAATATTTGTCAATTCTAGTTTCTGGTATGTTAAATTGATGAATAATGATACTTAACAGATTTTTTATTAGCATAGCAACTCTTTCTGAAAGTGATTTGCTTTTTTTGTATTTTCTATAGGTATTAAAACTGGTGATATTGAAAAAYACGTTACTTATATAAGATGCGTTTCAATAATGCAGACAACAGTAGCGTATTAATTAGGATTTTGTCAATGRGGAATACACGTAGGTATTAGGTTACAAGTGAAATTTTGTGTTTACCCGTACTTTGGGACTTGGGCGCAGTTTACAATCACCGCTGTATTTATTACAAGTGCGTTTTCGGTTGGAGGGGCCAGGGGAGCTGGTTTTGAGTATTGATTGGTTTTTATTTTAGAGTTTTTTTTATGTGTACCATTTTGTCATTAATATTTAGTAGGGTGTGAACTGTTGCAGTTTACCGAATTTGGTGGCATTTTCCAACTTTTATCGTATTTTGAATACCGATGTAATCTGTTACATTTAACGTAGTGAGAATTTAGTTTGCAGTTAGGGTTTATGAATACCTTTAGCAATGCATGATTTTTAGGATTTTTTAAGATTTTTAAAGGTATAGTTTTAGTCCTAGTCATTAGATTTTCGAAAAGGCTCATCTAGCTATGATTGAATAAAGCAGTTTAGTAGGTAAGTTAAAAGATATCGTAGGTTTTGGGATTATTTAACAATTGTAGAAACAGTATCGGGTAGGTAAGTCATCTTTATTGGTAACATCATCTTTATTTGTTAGTCTTGTAAATGATATAGAATAGGGAAATTCAAATGGTTTAGTTCTTCTGCGGCCTCTGATTCAGTGATTGGTATAGATCAATTTCTTATAATAGCTGAAATAGAACTGACTCAATTAATAAATCAATTAAATTATAAGAGTATGGACATTTTTTGGTGTGTCTACTCTTTATTTAAATATTTCTAATACGTAATTTATTATAATCATACTATATGTTAGGAATAAATAAGAACTTACAAACAAAATTACAGTACAATAATAGACACAAAAAATCAAATTAATATTTTAACACGGAACATATGGCACTTAAAACAAAACATAAATTCTTGGCCACAACCTGAAACGACCAGAAAAACAGAAATACTAATAACCCGACTAAGAATAGGTCACAACCTTATGAATAACCAAACACCAACGGAATGCACCTTTATGCGGAACGACCCTCACTATAAAACATTTGCTGACCGAGCGCAGATTCAAGGAGAAAGAAAGAAAAAATCATAATATATCATCATTGAACCTGTACGAGATTATCAGTCCTGACTGCAAACCAGAAAACATCATTGCATATTCCTCAAGGCATTAAAATTAGAAAAAAARCATATGATAATTAAATAGAATTAAGCTACTAATATTGTAAAAAAAATTGTTTATATATATATAATTGTATAAACCTCAAAAGTTAATGGCCTATATGTTGCCGAAGCTATAATGTTCAATGAAAAAATAAATAAATAAGAAATGATAAATTGATTGGAATATAAAATATGTAAGCTAAATTAATTTGTGGTACCAATCCTTATAATGTTTTGGATCTGTATGGTGCGCAGTCTTAGAACGTTTAAGGGAGTTCACCCGCACGTGCTTTCACGAGTACCTACGCCTCGCACGCTTATATAGTGGCGGCACTCCGCCCTCTAGAATGTTCCGGTGTGTTCGTTCATGCGAATGTTCCGTAATGCACACTTATATCAGACAACGCCATGCCGTTCTAGCCAGCTGCGTCTGCTTACTGAGTTCCAGAACTGCAAACACGCCATTATAGTCCGTAAATTCGCGTAGGTACCTATATTGTTTGATCGCGTGTAAATTAACTATCTCGTCTTTGTATATAATTAATCAATGCGGTTGTGTATATTAATAAAGTGCTTAAGTAGTGGCCAGTGGGCATGTTATAATGATATAACTATCTATCGTTCAGTTAGGACTTAGGAAGTTTACAAATCTTCGAAATATTTACAAAAAACATTTGTTTGAAAAGAGCCAAAGAGATGTAATGAAACCCTTTTCACTGAATGTAAATATTATGCATAAAAAACATTGATTATAACCTATAGGTACAATTATAATTAAAATCAATGGTACCTACAGGTATGTAATAATACGGGCTCGGGGCTGCGGCATTGACGTATTATAATTCCATTAAATTTCAGTAGGTCCAATAATTGTAATTACAAATTAAGCCATATGCAAAGTTAATCATATTGCTCGCGAATACTTTTTGAATATTTTTATATTTGATGACAATATAACATAAACAAATATCGAAATATCAATATTTTAAACACTGCATGAATGTGGTCGTGGGAGTACCTATCTGTACTATAATACATTGTACATATAGAAATATAATATCTAGGTATATATTAAATGAATTATAGTGATAATTAAATATTTAAATAAGTTTGTAAAAGATTCGACAAATCATGCAAAAACACAGCCGTTCATCACCCCTTGAATTACTCAACCGTCCGGTGGTGTGGGTTGAATTGAATGAATTAAGGGGTGTCCGGGATATGGGCCACAATAATTCACCTCTTTTTTAAAAGGTATACTGTAATTGGGCCACTAAAATGTTATATTTATAATAGGTAGACCAGAAGGTTAGGCCACTATTGAATTTAACATTTTATAGTAATGATTTAATACAATTTAATTTAAGGCAATACGTCATATTATATAAATTGCCACAATATCTAACACTGCAGCACACATGAAACATTGATATCTTATGATAGGTATGTACTATAAAAAATGTATTTTATAATATATATTATTGACTAACTTTATATTATATTTTGTTTGATTAACATTAAATACCTTGTTTTATATTAAATTTGATAAATCTGCATGGAAGTATTTGAAAAAAAAAATTTTTTTATTTAACAAATTGTATTTGTTAAGATATAAAATAATAATTGTTATATTATGTTCATATAAATAGTATATTAGTATGCTATACTTTTATGGCCCAATCTCTGGGTACGCTTTAAAAATACAGATCTAATTTGTGGCCCAATCTTCTGGTAATTAAATGTAAACAAATATCTTATACGTAGCAGGTAGTTAAAATGTGGTCCAATTCCAGGGCGCAGGAATTAAGTTGTTATTTCGGAATGATGACAAAAAATATTAATGAACTATATATATAAATTATTTAAGATTTTAGCTATTTTGTGGCAATTTTAAAATATTAGTCATGAGTATTTGAAACTTTAAAAGTACACTAGGAATTGAATTTTAAAGGTAGGTATACACAACAACAATTAAATTCTTATCTTTTATAAATAGTAAATAATAAGATTTAGGTAGGCAGAATAGGCAAATTAGATACTGTCAATTATAGTTCATTATACAAAACAGAATAATTAAATAATTATAAAATGTTTATTTGTATATAAAAATATAGACAATTTAAAACAAAGCTAGTTTTTTTWAATGCATATATAGATTCGAAAATGGAATAAGATTCCCAGATGTATTCCTCATCTAATATACTTTGTTATTTGAAGTCTGCAGCAACACTCTTAGAAACAATTCAAATTTTCTAAGGTAAAATATTAAGAATAATAACAAGCTCGCCATGTTAGGTTATCACAGTGCACTGAATCTTAGAAATTCAAGACTATATACATGCCCAGGCAACCAATTGGCAATTTGCCGAGTTGCCAATACGTCTAACCACCTTTCAGTATATTATTATTGTTATAATCATGTTGAAATAGATAGCCTATAAAGGCTGGGAATGTATGTTACCGTCAATCTGGGCAAATTGAAAGATATTGACATACTTTTTGGTATTCTGAGCATAAAAAAAAACATAAATGTGTATATATGTCTTATGAATAGGATAAGACCTTTCATTTAGTTTTTGGCCTAAATTGGACTTAAAGTACATGTTACAAGTCACAAAAAATTGAGGTGACTTGTAACAAAATATTTATTTTAAAATTTAACACAAATACATATTAAATATAAAAAAGAAATAGATTGAATTACTTTTTTTTTAATGTATGTTTCTACTTACTAATGGATAAATCATATTTATTAGATGCTTATTTTTATGTGAAAGGTTTTTTATTGCTACCTCATCCTATTGAAGTTTTTCATCTCTATAGTTTTTTATATATCTGCTAGTATATCCATCTGTCCGGTATAAGCCTGTATTTGTTTGGCTTTTGTTACAAGCCACCCTCAATTTTTTTAAATAAATAAGACTTAAGTTAAAATTGGATAAATGTTTTTATCTACAAAATGTAGCTTTTGAAGTATCCCTTAACGTAAGAAAAATACATAAATCTTTAAACTTACTTCAATCATCGAGATCTGAAGTACTTTTAAAAACAATGATGAAATCACTGTAATTATGAGAAATGTTTGATTACTTTTTTGGAGGTAATGATGAAACCAATCACATGGTTGCTTATAGCATTTACTATCACAAATATTGTAAATTAAGTTATAAAATTTACTCTCGAAGATACTCAGCTTTGATTAAAGAAAAACACAACTGTTACATTTCACCTCACTGTTCCAAGTCACCCTGATTAACGGTTTATGTAAAAAAAAATGATGTCCAATGACAACAATAAAAAAAAAAWAAATAAATTCTATTATCATTTAAATTTGAATTTGACATATATATTGTAGTGACCACTTGTCTACCTTCTTAAACATAGTTGTCAGTTATAAAACAAAAGAAAATCATAAAAATATGTATACATTTACTGTATATAATATTGATAACAAAAGTAATTTAAAATTAAAATGATATAAATACCACTTAATATTCTTAATTTTAAGTTGCACAAAAATAAATTTTAAATAATATTAAAGTGGATGACAGCCAGTGGCGCAACTAGSGCTTAAATGTTGAGGCGAGTGGGCTTCAGCCCCTCTGATTTTACGTGAAAAGTAATCTGTAGGGGCATTGCCGCCGCACCATTGTATTAACCATTTGAAAATTTAACTTTTAAGCATTTCCAAATTAAAAAAAAAAAAATGTATATTATAACACTAAATTTTAATTAATAATGTAATATATTTTAATTAATTGTCATGTATAGCTAATAAAAGTTTTTAAATAACAACACAAATAGTAGATACAATTGTTATCATTAATTTTTGATTTTAAATCTATTTAATTTATCTTATTGGTATGTACATAATAATTTAAAATAAATCAGTCAGAAATTAAATTCAACAAGATAAAAATCATTAAAAAAACCTAGTGGAATTACCTACAACAATAAGCATTTTTTACTAAATGGTTAGGTTTCAAAAGCAACCAGGTTTGTTTAATTTATGGCATTTTTTGCAGTTGGCTGTTCTTAAGTTTATTTTTATTGACTGTTTTTTTTTTTATTGCAACTGGGAATCGAATATTTGGATTTGAGTATGTTAAAAATTGGGTTTGATTTTTTGAAGCAATTGAATTATTCTGGACCGGTGAACTAGATGTAATCGTTGTGTTTTTGATTATAAGTGGTCCAACATCGGCCGATAATCGTTTGCTGTACTTATGTAGATGCGATGATGGATGTATAAATGGCTTTGAGGCATTAATATTGTGATTGGGATCACCAAAATAATTGTATAATATTTCTTTTTGTTCTGTTAAATATTTTTTAGAAAATTCATCGGCTGAATCAGCAATAGACAGATCTCCTAAGTATAACATTCGCAAGTTTTCCATCAGATACAGAAGCATGTTTATTGCACTATTGCCTAACGAGATATATAATTCTTTGAATAATGGGTTGTCAGAATTTTCAAAATAACATTCTATTGCTGATAAATATGGTTTAAAATAATCAATTAATTGATCATAATTTTCATCATCATGATTGCTATTTTCATTAGCAGTCTGTTCTAGATAAGGAAATGGATGTCCCGATTTGATTTGTAACTGTGAAGACCTATTATCGCTATTAATTTTAGAGTTATTAATAGAATTATTATCATCTGACGTTTTTAAACCCTGTGAATCATTAACTTGAATTGTACTATTTGACGGAATTATAATATCAGATATTTTTTTAACATTGAACTCCTCTTCGTTATCAGATTGCTCACCCTGTGAATCATCCACTTCAATTGTACCATTTGAAGTAATTATAATATCTGATACTTTTTTATAACTGAATATTTCTTCGTTATCAGATTGCTCATCACTATCAGTTTCGATTTCCCCATCAGGCGCAATCATATATTTTATTCTTCCATTCTTACTATTGGGTAATATTTCATGGGATTCTTCACCATCCAATAATACAGAACCTGATCCTTTTAGAATATTTTTTTTCACCATTTTCGAGTTGGATAAATTTTTATTATTGAATTTCTGTGTATTACCTGATATCATATATTTGGATTGGTCATCGCTATGTGATTCAATTTCATTAACTGACATAATTATGTATTTTGTTTTTCTATACCCACTTTCAATGCCAAAGATAGCGTTACCATACGACATTTCAAAAGCTAGACTGTCTTGAACATCGGATACAATTTTGAATGTACATATATTCTTATTAGTGTATTCTTTCTCATTATCTGATATAATTATACATTTGAATTTCTTATTATCAGAATGTTCAATTTCATCATTAAATACTATCACATTTTTATTCTCTTTCTCAGACGTAATTTTGACCTTTTCACTATCCAAAAATATTTTACAATCCGATCCTTTTTCAACATGAATCTTATAGGTAGATAATTTTTTATTATCGAATCCCATAGTATTATCAGATATAACTATGCATGTGGATACCTTATCACCTGAAGGTTTAATTTCATTTTCAAATGCAACTATATAATTTACCTTTTCATTCTCATTTTTAATATAAGTTTCAATGATTTTAGCATGATTCATTAATATTTCACTATCTGATCCTGTTTTAATAACTTTGAAAGTAGATAATTTTTTATTTTTGAATTTCTCTCCAGGATCAGATACAATTATACATTCAGACTCTTTACATTCGAGTTTATTATTATCAATCGATATAATTTCAACATCTAGTGAATTTTCATTATTTGATATAATTTCACAGTCAGAATCTGAATCCAAATCTCCTTCTGAGACTACAACCATATAATCTGTTTCTTCTATATCGACGATAGATAATATTTCTTCATTGTCACTCTCAGAAAATATTTCAGTATCCAATAAAACATCAGTATCAGATACTCTAATTTCAGAATCTAATAAATATTCAGAATCTGATAGAATTATAGAATCTGGACTACTTTCAGTATCAGATATATTTGACGGAACATTTTCAATTCTTTCTATAGAAGAATTTTTCGTTTTCCAAAATGGTGAAATTTTTTTTAATACACGTTTAAACTGCAGTGGACTACTGCAACTTGGGTTTGAACCGTAAGAATTTTTTATTTCAATTGATGGCACATTTGTTTTCAATTTAATGTCTTTCATTGAATTGCTACGCAGTTTTAACGATTCTTCATTGTTTGACCGATCTTGAACAGCAATTAATTCAGAATTCATGACATTTTCATTTTTGGAGATCATATTTAAAATACTTGGACGAGGAATATATTTAACTGGGTAGGATTTGGTAGTATGATCATTTGTAGAATTATTATCACAGGAACTATATTTTTCATTTAGTCTTTGTTTCTTCACATCATTATTTGAAATTGAATGGCATATAACATTGTTTTGTTTTCTCTTCATTGAAACAGGATTAATTATCACATTACATGGTTCTACTGCTGCAATAAATGAATACATTTTATTGTCAGTCTCTGTTAAATTAACAGTTCTAAAATTTGTATTTTTTTTGTTCATATATTCACTATCTTCTTTTAGTTTATCTTGGGCACCAGTACTTATAATATGAGAATTTAGCCTGCTTTGATTATTATCTATTTTATTGTGCACTCTAACAATTTGACGAGAATCAATAATCTTTGATTCATTTTTAACAATTTCTAAATCAACTTGATATTGATTTTTAGGTAAATTATGATGGACAATGTTTTGATATTGATTAATCTCTTTATTTTTAGTTATATTGGTATTGTAATTTTTCAATTGATGATCACCATTCAAATTTTTATTGTTGTCATGTCCTAGAACATGATTTGATGGAGTCAATGTTCTGGAGTTTTCTTCATGTTGTTCAACATYATGTCCTTCATCTATTGGTTCTAATTTAGGTGTACGCAGATTGTTGTCATGTCCTAGAACATGATTTGATGGAGTCAATGTTCTGGAGTTTTCTTCATGCTGTTCAACATCATGTCCTTCATCTATTGGTTCTAATTTAGGTGTACACAGATTTTGTTCACTTACATTTAATAATGCAGTGCTTGTTATTAATTCTGTATTATTTTTATAATAGCCATATTCATAGTGATAAGTTGTAGTAATCAAAGGATCAGAAAACTTAACTTTTGTTGAACGAACATAATCATTTTCATCTTTAATCTTAGCAACAACAAAGGGAGATGCCACATTTATTGATCTTTGACGTATATTGAAATTATACTGTGATTTTCCATATAATTCTAAACGAGCTGCATTGCTGAAATTTAAATAAGGTTAAAATAATAATAATAAAAGCAGTTACATTTCTATAAAATAAGTCTTACGTTATAAATATATTTYYCCGTAAAAATTCCAAGTCATCAATTGGGAAACCAGGATTTATTTTGGAAATGTATCCTTTACAAGTCATACATATGAACATACCGGATTGTAGCATTAAAGGAAGACCATTTTGAACCAATACCAAATTCCACTTTTCGTACATTAACCAGTCATCAGTGTTAAGTGGTTCATTCAGTTTGCTACAGCAGATTTGACATGATGACATTGCAAAAATCTAAAGAAAAAATAATAATATTTAACTATGTTTAAGAACAATATTTGTATGTTAATAAAGTATATTTACCAAGGTTGTATGAACTTCACAAAGACAAAAGGGAAATGTCAAGAAATCTGAAGATTTGTTTTTAGATTGAACTAGAGCTAACTAAAATAAAAACAATTAGTTATTATAGTCTTTTTAATTTATTGTACAAAATTAAATTATTAATAGTATTTACTTACACCACAATATTCAAATGTTGATATTATTTTTTTAATAAATTCACACTGATCTACAGACATTTTATAAAAGGAAGGCAGAGAGCAGAAATGTATTGAACATTTTCTAGCCTCGGTTTTATTACTTGATATAACAATATGTCCTGACAATTCTCCTTGTTCTACAGCTTTTTGTAGGAATTCCCAACAAAAAGCACAAAAGCATGAATTAACGGACAATGAGGACTCAACTAAAATCATTCAATTATCAAATATTTAAAATTATAAATGTAAAAACGTAATGTTTTCCACAAATTTATGTACCCATATTATTTTAGGGGAAGAGTCAGAGTCATTAGCTTGATCAGGCACAGTTTAAAATTGGCAATCAAAATATTATACTTAACATATAAAATTAATATTGAAAATGTATTCATTAAACAAATAATTTTTTGATTTATTTAAACTATAAATTATACTTGAAAGCATAACTCAACAATATGTGATATATACAAACATTTAACTACTAGACAAAAACTGTTTGGCAATGGCATTATGAATAATGTAGAAATGCATCACAGTAACGCTTGTACATATTTATAATGATAGTTTATGTTTAGGCTGAATACATATTGTATGTGCTTTATGTTGTTATGCTTTATATATGTTACGAGTAATGTTAACATTTGGATAAAGTCGACATTAGTCATTTGTTTTGGCTAATGAGTATTTTTTTGTTTATAAACATGAAATATCAACATTACCCGGATAATGTTGACTTTAACCAGTCAATATTGGATAATGTTAAAAGTTATAAATTAAATAGTTTTTAGAATTTTATATAATAATAAAGCGTTGGACTKCCAKAGAATAATATCTTAATTAACCTATAACCGAGTTAGTCAGTTATCTTACCGATAAAGTGAACAATATAATATAATATAATATATGGGCCTAATATTTAATTTAATTGCACCACATTTTCGTTATAATTCTACATGCTATACAAAACGCTATATAAAATGAAAAATAAACTCATATTAATAATTTATGCATTTTAAGGAAATAACTAATTGTGTTTTAAATATATTCAATATTGTTAATAGTTTAAAATGATTCTATATATTTGTATGGTTGTTAAGACATTATCCAAAAGTTTTTGGATGATATCACATTATTCAGTTAATGTTAACTTTAACCAACATTTAATAATATCCATGGTGGGCAATGTTAACAGTTGGCTATTGTTGTATTATCCGGCTATTGAGAACTTTATCCAAATTTTAACATTACCCGAAACATATACACTCATTACTTGTCTAATAGTATCATGTCTATAGATTTATGGTGATAAATGATAATACTATTGTGAACAGTTGTAGGCTTGTAGCCAGATAATTTGAGATGGCAGTGGAGCTTTTCAGTAGGAGTAGCCTGAAATAGTCACTGTGTTTTGAAAGCGCGCGCCTCACCCATTTGTTTAAAATAAATGACTCAGCTGATAATCAAGTACGGAAAACCACTGGTTTTTCGTTATCGCGCCGCCACCGCCTCTCAATTTATCGTTGCCAGATCTTTCCTCATTTAAAATTTAAATGTTCAAAAAACTAAAAAATACTTAAATATGCATGAACTAATAAATATAAAATATATATCAAATTATGTATTTAAAAAGTGATTGAATATTAGTAATATGAAACACTAAGTTAAATATTGAGAGATAAGGAAATCCATCKGTCTATTTGTCAAAAAACATTTCTACTATTAAACATAAATAATGATTCATATTATAAAAATCAACAATAGCATTTTGCCCCCAAATTGCATATATGAGCAAAACAGCTTTTGTCTGTAATTGAGATAAATAAATATAATTGTATAATAACTAATGAGAACAACATAGTACAAAATGAAATGAACACGTATGTTGGGAAAAACTGTAAAATAAAATGGTACACATAATAATATATATATTTAATTTAAAAGATCCAAAATGCTTACTTTTTAAACATTCATTTTGCTTGTCAATACTATGTATTTCACCAATATGTGAAGGAATGTCAATAAAACGAAAAACTTTTTTACACCAAAAACATTGACGGCAAGTATGTTGTATAAGTGTTGACGTTAATTCCCTGAAAATATTAAAACAATATATTATTTTAGTAATTTACCAATTATCACAAATTCAAAACTATTATTATTTTGCCAATATTGAAATGTTAAAAATATGAAAATTTCAATAATTAAAGTCAACAATTAATTAATTTAAATGAACTCACATTGTTTGTAATGCAGTTGTCGGATAAATTGCATGGATACTTATAATTTCACCTAGATAAAAATATAAACACTCATGTATAAACTGTCATAACAAATAATGTGTCTAAATCACGGTTATCTACTCAGATTGTGAAACTGCCTATCTATCTCCACTGTAATATCCGGCCATGCGGCGTGATTGTGAACTACAAGCGCTAGTATCTCTTGGCCCTCTAGTATCATAGTTTTCTAATAAAACATACAATCTGGCAATGAGAACAATAATATACATCAGCGCGCATCAGCCGAGTGATTGTTATGTCTTAACTCTTTTATTTAAATTTTAAACTGTTAAACTGTTAAACTGTGTTAATTAATATGGTGAAGTGTTGTGTTGTCTTTTATACATTGGGGTATAAAAGCAACAAAGAAAAAATATCAAAATTTGCAGCTCCTCGTGATCCAGAACTACGTAAAAAATGGGCCAAAGCAATTCCCAGACAAAATTTTGTTTTAACTGATTCTACATAATATGTATGTGAAAAACATTTTAACGAATCAGGTATAACTCGATATTGGCAGTCTGGTAGTGATGCTACAAAGGTTGTTAAGGTAAATAAATATATATATATATATATTATATAAATAATAATAATAATAGGTAAATTTATATTAAGCTATAGGTTCACCTACTAGAGCAATCTTAAKACTTATACAACTACATAATTACATAAACATTAAATGATTAGTAAAACTTAGGTATTATTTACTTTTATAATAATCTACAAGATATATTGCAATACAATTAATTTTATTTTTTATTTAATGGCAACATAATATACCTAGTAYCTTAACTACCATGTCTAAATGTGAAAACTATATTGTTTCGTTGAGTATATTATTTCCTTGAAGAAGTAAATAAATACCTATAGATACAATATCTATAAATATCTAATAGATATAACCAACTTCTATTGTATAAAATATATAAATAAWAAATGTAATAATCATTTTAAATTTAGATTCCATATAAAATACCTAAGTTAGTAGAAAATGCAGTTCCTTCAATATTTCCTTTACCAAAATATCTGTCAAAAGAAATAATAAAAAAAGAAAACCTCCCATGTTATGACAGAATGTTACTAATAGCCAGAAAATAATAAAAACTCAAAATGATACTGAAGACTTTCAACAGCTGAATTGTGATTTAAATCAAAGTACATCACATATCACAACTAATAATTTATATGATCAAATCCATTCTTTAGCTATAAGTGGTACTCTAACATCTCATAWTCCATGGCCTGAGACTTCAAGTATTTGCAAAGGATTTAATGCAACAACAAGTCATAATTTTTCTGAATCTAGTGTACATGATTGCATCATTTATTATGTTTGTGGGTATGTAACCAAGAAAATACTCAAACACAAAAAATGTAGCAAATGCATTGCTTTTTTAAAAAATTGCTTTATTATACACTCTGCTGGAGAACTCGTTGTTGCTAAATCTAGAGGTTTATTAGTTCATCCTAATGAATATTTGTTTGATTTTTTGAGATCTGTTGAACATTCTTTTGCTAAATATTGTGCTGAATTAGATGTATTTGAAAAAGTTATAAGTGACATAACACACAATATAACTTTCAAATTTCCATGTAGCTTACACCTGGTAGAAGTTACTACAGAACTCATAGTTTATTATATTCAAA